GCGTAACAATGTGCGAAAGCATGTTGTTAGTATAAAGGCTTAGGATAGAGGTTTTTGGCATGGCTCATTTACAAGCAGCGATAGTCCTCTCAGAAGATCCTAAACCCTACAATCACAGTGTATATAATATTGGCTCCACTGACTACCTTGCTGGGTATTTGGCATGCCTTTTTGGCCACAACCCGTCCGTCTTCGCAGCCGCAGGATGTTGAAGCCTCCGGAGAGCAGCTCCAAAGCCTTCGAGGACGGTGCGCGCTTTCCAGTGGTCCTCCCCAAGTTCGAGGAGGTCCGCGGTCCGGTGGACTCAGGGAGGAGAGGCCTCGGAGAGGCTTCCTTTTTTGGAGCTTTCGCAGTGCTGCTTGATGATGTCACGGAGTTTGGGGCGGGGTACTTCGGCTCCGGCCGAAGTGTCAAATAGTCAAATGGTGGGGTTTTGCAAAGACCAGTGGAATTGAAATATAAACCATGAAACAAGGGCATTTGTCAATGATTCCCATGAAACAAGGGGCTAGTCAATCGGTTTACCGTCTATGAAACACGGGGCTAGTCAATCGGTTTACCGTCTCAAAACATTTGAGGGGAGCGCAGGCCACGCAGTGCTTCTTGCAGGGTCTGGCATGGTCTTGCAGCACAATTCAAGACTTGTTTGGTTTAATACACTCCAACCCCACCGGAGTGTCATGTGCGGCGCACATCAATACTTCCCCATTTGACAAGAACTAACAGTACAAGAATCCGGTGAATCCGGTGAAACCACTGTAGAATGTCAAGTAGTGCAAGAATGTGCAGAGTCCAGAGCTTCATTTTCAGAGTCCAGGGTGAGATTCGCCCTGAGGCCCAAAAGGCCGGTGAGTTGGAATGTGGGGGACCGGCGGGGACGAAGCGGACGAAGACGAGCACTGCGCAGGACCTGTGCTGTTCAATTTGCATGTATGTTGGATGTGTTTGCTTATGGTTGTTGTAATTTTGACTGCTTGTTCCAGGTGGATTTCTTGCAATTGATTCAATTAGATGTTTTAAAAGTGGAAGTTATTTAGTATTCTCCAAAGCTTACCCTTAGTTTGGACCAGACAAGCGAGTTGTACATTTTTTGTGAGCATTTTCGATTTGGATGGCAGCTTGGACTGTAGTGCTTCACCTCGACGTCGCCTGGACTTCACCGGCGACTTCCGGCTCGGAGCAGGTCTACTTCCGGCTCGGCCCGCTGCTGCACACGGAGCACCTGCGGGGCCAGGAGGAGGACGACCAGCTCTTGCGGAACCTGCGCGACGTGACCAAGCAGCGCGTCCAGGCCTCCCGGGCGCCGGGCGGCTCGCCACGGCGGTCTTGTGGTCTCGGGACGACGCCGATGTGTCACTGACATTGGCTGGGAGGCCGTAAGAACGGGTGAAAGTATGTCGTGTGTTTTTGTGCAAGCTGGCGACTGGTGAAGTAGCAACGATCTACATAAGTCACCTGTCTTTTGATGGGGGAACGCATGTGGCAACGGGTGAAGTACTCGTACCAACAACCTTTTGTTATCTCGTGCAGATGCATGCAGATGTCAGATGTCATTGTTGTTCCTTGCCACCAAAACAAATATGTTGAGGAGATGGCAGGTGGTGTCGGCTCTTAAGGATTGGTTGTTTTTGTTCTTGTCAGAGCACCAGTCTTTTGATAAGGGAATCATCCTAAGAATATACTATACAGTAGAGCGGATCACAGTAGATTATATACGTGAGTTACGTGAGTCACCTTTGACCGTATGCAAAATATCCGGGTTGTGCCACATTTGTTCTGAATCTATGCATCAATTTGCGTACATGTATACCAGCACCACCCAACAGGATGGTTGGATGTTAAACACATGCTCAGGGCGGGGGTCTATAAATCACCGTAGTCCTGGGTGCTGATGGATTGTCGTGCTTCAACACGACACCCGCTCCGACTCCAAGCAGGAAGGCATCGATTGGCTTTTGCAGCATCGGGAGTCGGACCCTGAACGCTTCGTCTTCCGACAGAACAGCCCCATGGCTGTTGTTCAATCCGAGGGATAGGCCGGGATGGGTTCAGTTGTATTTCGGAGCTTCGAGCTATATGACTACCCCGGCTCCTGACGTAGAAGCATATATCATATTGTTATATAAATATATGTCCAAAGGGGGCATTGTTGAGACCCCAAGCGAGTGGAGAGTGCACTGCAATTAACTACTTACTTGCTGTAAGCAGGTGGCTACGTGAAGGACACATGAGCATGGGTTTTTTGGTTATTCTTTTTTGTGGGTCCAAGGTCAGCCAATGGTTTGCATACTAGCAGGATCAATCAGGTCAGCGAATTGACATCCAGCATGCAAAAGTCCGGTTCTAACGTATTTTGCGTGAGGATGTTCCGAAAGCCAAACCCTTCGGGTTTTGCATAGGTTTTACCAAGTGCTTTTGGTGCCATCAGCCAGCTGTAGCACATCCGCGGGGCGGATGAGCACCTCAGGTGCTGCGAGCCCACCCCAGCGGCAGCTTGGATCCACTTCGAGTGGAGCGATCGGGATGAGAGTGGGCGGATGTCGCCCACGAAACCTGGAGATGGCCATCGGTAAAAGATTATCACCATTCTTGGAGATGGCCTGCAGCTAAATCCCATCATCCACTGGGCCCTAGTAATGGGAGTGGTAATGGGATATATACTCAATGTGTGTATGTGTGTGTGTTTATGTCAGGTGTTTAGATGATCGGCAAGTTTCTTGCTTTCACAAGATGACTTGAAGAAGTTTGAACGTTTACGATGTTTTTTTGAATATGAAGATGAAGTTTCCGGAAATGTTTGTTGCAGTGCTATTAGAAAGGGGGAAGCCTTTCAAGATGCTCTTGTTTTGTATATGTGCTTGCCTGCATCATCTTCTATTTTCTTTGAACTTGGAACCGTGGAGACATCAATCTGCAATATCTCCACTGGGTTAGTTTGTTTCCTCAGTTAGTTGATTGACGTTCATTGAGGGTTTCCCTCAAAATTCAGAGCCAAGATACTAGATACCCATGAATTTATATATTATGTAGCATTATCTAAGTTCATGATTTAATGCTTATACAGCTCCGATCAGCTGTATTGACATCGAATCGTTGTATGCCCACATGGCCCACATGTCACAGTCTCCTCAGCAGAGTCGCCGGGTCCGGATACTTTTGGACCTTTTCCTTGTGGAGAAATCGCACATTTCCAGATACTCCATGGGACTGGAGTATTGACCTACATTGAGGTGAGGGGTCACTGGAAATATTCATATTCCATACTTGGAGTGCTTGGGAGTACCGGTCGCGAACGGGGTCGAGGGTCCAGGAGACTTCCGGCTCCTCCCCGGCCTCGCGGGTCTGGCGGAGGAATCGCTCCGTCCATCTCCGGCCAAGGCTTTCGACGTCCAAACCACAGTCCAAGCTCTGAAGGCTGCACAGATTTAAAGTCTCCCGTGTCGAAGATGTCGAAGATGTGGTGAGGTTGGTGATGCAGATACTCAACAGCTCAGTAGGATTTTATATGATTTATATGTATACTAAAAGTAGAACCAAGTGATGGTCATGGGCCATGGGAACACTGACATTGTCCTTTTCCAATATGGGGGCAGCATGCAAACTTTTAAGACTTCCTGGAAATGAATGTGGCCTGAAGAGAAAAAGGTTACAAGAGCTTGTTGCTAGATCAACACCTATCATGAGATTTGAATAGAAGTGTGCCAGTGGCTAGAAAGCAGTTAACCAAGGGGTCATGCCCTTCCAGCCCATTTCAGTGTCGCAGCGTTTTTCTTAACTTGCCTAGAGGTGTGAGCCATTCTGCCAGAGACTTCGACTCAACTGACACAGGATTGCAGCTGAGTCGTTAGGCCCGACGTGCCTTCCCAGCGTGCGCCCGTCCCGATTCGTACGCCTTGGATCGCATCAATCAATGCAAAAGGCGTTATCAAACAGTCCCCATCAATCCCTCTTCCTTAAAGAATGGCTACTACTGGACCTAGGTACTAGGTGGCTAGATTGCTACAGCCTGCCTGAAATCAGCACATGTGTTCTTTGTATCAGGCGCTTGGCTTCTCTGGTTGTTTGACCAACGCGTATTGATATGATCCCAGATGCATTGAGGATGTTCTCATCAGTGACCCCTGAACAGGCTAGGAAGTCCATTCACAAGTGAGATGTAGAAAGTGAAGCCATTCACTACCTCCTGCACAGAAAAAAAACACTTGAAAGCAAGCTAGTCGGTTTCGGAACACCGCAACAAGATCGCCCATGTAAGACCTCAGAGCACCGCAAACATCCAGGCGTCGCGGCGGAGAATGGTGCGGAACTCACAAAGATTCTGAGTTCCAAGGCACCCATCCTCCGCACCCACCGCAACACGCAGGTGGCAACATCACCTTCCAGGCTTGCTTCCAGCCGTTACAGGCAATCAATGGAACACTCTAGTCACTAGTCAAACGTTTCCTGACCATATCAATCACACAGTGACGACGGCTTCTTCCGCAAAAGGCAAGGTTGGGTATTGATCTACTTCCTAACCTACTGTTTAAGGAAGGAATCCTGCACATAAGATTTCAACAAGCACCTATAGGCTAGGATGGGCTGGACGTGTTGGTGCAGGAATTCTTCCACGAACAGTGCAGCGCGCTTGCAGCATGAGTGAAGCTACACCACGGTCGCTGCTCGCTTGATGCGCGAGGGCGTCACAGCTGAGAACAGAAAAAGGAGGGTGGTGTGGAGGGAGCACCTGAATGAGGAGAGGAGCTAGTGCTGGGACGCAGCCACGAGAGTGAATCAGCAAAAGGAGGTGATGCCGGCTTGAGGGGGTGATGGGGATGGTTGCATGCATTGTTTTTGGACAAATACGGCAAATGTGGTGCAATGCTGCTTGGGTTTGTTGCCATGTGGTGCAACGGTGCAACATGCGAGTTTTTTGGTTAGATCATGTTAGATCAATATGGGTGCTTTCTAATTAACTTGGCCTTGGCCGCCTTGGCTCAGACCACTGCTTGCTTTTTGAGGTCGCAAAAGATGCTGATGATGCCTCCCAAGCTCTCAATTGAGAAGGCAAGGCTTGCTTTACGACACTTGGGAAAAGTCTGATGGAGTCGGAAAGGGACAGTTGCAGGTCGTCCCATGGGAATTGGAAAACACCACTAGCATCATAAGAACCTGTCACAGTGCCCAAACTTATATGCCCAAAAGGTTTGTTGCACACCGGTAAATGGGGACGAAATCCACATGCGGGGTCACTTGAGACGGTCAGACCGTCCTCGTCTCAGCGAAGATTCCAGGTCAAGATTGATACCCGATTCGGTGCCATATATATATATATATATACATCAATTCCATGAAAAAGAAGGACCCAAACTAGGCATGCACGGGGAAGATGCACGGGGCAGTCGTGCAACATACTGTATGTTAATGTTAATCAAACATGTGTATAATATTGTCATAATATATTATCATATTTACCATGACCATAATGTTTATGCGTAAATAGACATAGAACATGTTCTTGCAAGGTCTTTGGATGGCTCCAATTGGATCCCGGTTTGTTTTCTTGGACGATTGTTCATGCGACAACTCCTTTGTTGCGAAAGCGGAATCAACTAGAGTTTGGAATTTCTGATTTGCACCAAAGATGACAAGAGAAGTAGAGTAAGTGGAGATTCTGATTGTTTGGCAATTGGTTGGGAGTTCCAGTGACTCAGCATCTCACAGATGTCACTTCCAATGTCTTCCATTTACATCGGTTTATCGATTGGTGGCCGTCTACGTCAACACCTGGGCTGGTGGCCGTCTACGCCACAGATGCTCCGCCAGGTCTTCGCGGAGATGAAAGCCATCGCCCACGTCTCCGGGAAGGATTCGCAGAAGTCCAAGAAGGCGTGGGCCGGACCCGCGTGGCCGGACCGGCGAGGGAGGAGGGGGGATGTGATGTGCTGATCTGCCGGAAGGTCTGAAAACCGAACAACAGAGACCAACAGAGGCTTGGGGAACACGGCACTCTTTTTACCTTCTTGTCAATCATGTTGCTTGAGGAACACTTGTACTGTTTTTGACCGCTGCTCATGTGATGCTTGAACTGTTCAGTTCAGGGCAAGCAGAAGAACCACTCTCACCCAAAAAGCCGGCAAGGTTACAGTAGTCAGGCCGGCTCCATACTTAAAGGCCGATAACATTGTTCTACTAATTATATATATAAGTCTTTTTGTTTGCAAGGATCCCACACATAGTATTTCGTGCCCATTGAGGCAGCGGAGGTGTGTTCGAATATACTCTGATGATCTTTGATTGGAACCAAATGTGCTCCTCAATTGCAAAGTCACAACGTCAAGGTGTTCCATTGCAAATAAGAACTTGTTCCACACACCTATGTAGGAGAAGATCCAGAAGCTCTTGGTGGCCTCCCGTGGGGAAGAGGCAGGGACACAGCGAGGACCCCGCGAGTAAGAGGGGTACTGAGATACACAAGTGTGAGTAGAAACCATGGCATCTCCTTTGATTGGTGCATATATTATAATTATATATATATGGTATGAAAGATTGCATGGGGACCCGTGGAATATCAGGCCAAGGATTCTATATGTATATATAATACTATTCATTGCAATTGTGCCCACAGGGTCAACCAAGCCAGCGTTTCCGTCCCAAGCGTCCAAAGAAATCAAATTAGCCCAACAACCCAGTTGAAGCATAATATACCCCATCCAAATTTCAAGCGAATCCGCATAGCTGGGGTATTGGAGCTCATGTAGGCTCAAATGGCTTGGTTCCAATTCCTTTCCGATTTGGGCTTCAGGATGTTTGAGAGCTTGGACCAGCCCCTGCAAGATATCTCCTCTGACGAAGAAATCATGGACTTTCCATGTGGAAGGGAATCCAGAAGATTCAAGAAGCTGTAAGATCCCCCATGGATCCACATAAAGAATCCAGAGGCGATGTCCTCTGATTTCCTATTGGATGTCACATGCCCTTAACGAAAAGACCAGCGGCGACTGTGCTGGCGTTCTTTGCCCGGAGCTCGACCCCTGGAGCGAAAGGCGGAGACAGCAGTGCTCCCGGCGTGAGCTGAACAAGCTGGCTGATCAAGTCATGCTTTTGGTTTCGTTGATTTCATCATGGAACATCATAGACCATGTGTTCATAGCTCGAAAGAATTGACCCGAGTTTTGAGTTATTTTGAGTTTTTGTGCAGATGTGTTGATCAGGGTACGGTCTTGTTTGTAGAGAGCGTACGGTCTTGTTTCTTACTCCCAGGCATGGTGATCATGAATGATAGATCAAGAGATTCGGCACACCGACGCGATGACATGCAGGCCAAGTTCATCGTGCGGATGCTCCAAGCCCAGTAGCCTAGCTCCGCACGGCACGGCGTTTGCTTCAAAGGTGGTGAGGCGGTGAGCAAGCTGATCAGTCATGGAGCATTGACAGAATAGCAATAGAAAAGAGGGTCCTTTATGCGTAAAGATCATCTTAAGCCTTAAGCTGGTCTGTGACTGCATATATTCTGGGAGTTTGACGGATTTTGGTAGAGGAATGTATTGTATATTTTGAGACACGCCCTGGAACCCCGAATGTAGTTTTGCAACCAGTTCGCGTAACGTTGACCCCACTGGGTATCACAAAACCGATTCCACCATGAGTAGACTGGGATCCACAAAATCTATAGCGTTCCCAAATCGTTGCATCCGAGTAAAATATGATCACTGCTTAGGGGAATGATCATCATCACCAAAAACACTGTTTCAATGATTTTGGACAGTTGGGAAAACCCAAGAAACACCAGCCAAAAAAAGGCTCCTCGGGTCACCCGACTGCCACAACGACTCACCGTCCGACTTGCCTGGGCTGCCCAGGCCAAGCTGCGCATCGGCATCCAAATTCCCACGCTGCTCCAGGCCTTGCTGCCAGAGGTCACGAAACGCTCAGGTCGCGACCATTGTCTTTGACTGTCTCAAAGACCTCAATTGAAGGGAGGAATTGATCCAAAGTCAGGTTCACCGCAGTGGAAGACCAGGTTCCTCGCAGGAACCTGGTCGTTCTATCTGACATGACCATGCCATCCATGGAACATCATAGAACTTTCGTGATGTATTTCGTGATGAGAGCCCCAAGAGTCGCAAGGACTGCCAGGTATGGTCGCCTGTGCTAGTCCTGCTGTGTTTGCGTCCAGCGCCCCCTTCGGAGGCCTTAGCCTATGCCTTCACGCTAACCCTGCCGGGCACTGGAAGTGGTGCAAAGGTCACAGACCGGCGGCATCCACCTCAGGCCCGAGCCTCGCACAGGGCTGCACAGACCAAAAAACACCCCATCCAAAAACGCATACGCTGGCCACCTGCCCAAAAAACCATCCGGCATTTTTCTGGGGTAGGATGGGGTAGTGATTGGTAGTGTATCCTTTGTGTCACATGAAATCTACATTTCCTTGTACCATGCGGAGGTATGTTGGAGGTCCTCCAGGTTGAGCATCCATCAACCAAGTGCTGGGCGTTGCCGGGCATTGGCAACCAGGGCACCAAGAAAGCGCCCTCGGCGGGAGAGCTGGAAGCGCAGATGATAGCTATGGAGGCAGCTGTGCGTCAGGCGGGAGTGCGGGAATGCCGCAGGAACTGTGCCTCCACAAGTAGATGAAAACACAGATGCCCGCTAATTCGCTAATTATATATGTATTGACTGTATTATCGAAATCTGTTTTTTTTGGGGGGGGGTGGGAACCACTAAAGACTACTGGAACGTTTCAGCTCTGGCTGTGACACCGTTAGAACCTCTGTTGGTGTTACAGGAAAGATCTTCCAGTCTTGTATGGGGTAAAGATGCCGGCAGTAAAAGTGGTTTCCACAGGCAAAGGGTGGATGATGGTGGATGTATTTCTGCGGATTTCTACCTGGAGATGCTGTTGGGGGCTGGAGAGCTTTGGGTTGGTTCATGTGGTGCTCTGGGGATCAACTATGATCCACTAGGCTACTAGGACTGGCAATGATGGAAATCCTCCCACAGGGTTTCGGGGTCCAGGCTTTTGAAAAAGTCTCACCGGCCAGGCCTTTAGCGAGATGCCCAACTTTGCCCATGTCTGAGAATGATTTGCTCCCTGCGGAGTATTTTGTCGAAGGTGGTTTTGTGAGATTGACAAAAGAGGATCGCAGTGGGAACGAAACCAAGCATCCGGTCAAGTTGAGGTGAGGATGAACATCTCAAACATATGTATATAGATACTATACTTGTATAGTGTATAATATATGATAGCCATTGACCAGATCATCTCCTGTGTCCACCTCAGTACAGGACCACGCCGGTGTTAGGTGTCGCCAACGACTCATGTGTGCGCTCGGCCTGGTGGCATCGAGGACAACTTGATCAAAGCTTTAATGGAGGGCCGTGACAGCTTGGCCGGCCTGTTGCCACTTCACTTCACGACCTGTTGACAAACCTACTGACGAACTCGGTTGGTGATGTGAACGACGCCTGTGAAACACAACAGATTGGAACTGCGCAGGTGGAACACCGTCTTCGAGATGGCGACTCACTAAAGCATGGCCTGCTTGCTGTTGAATATCCAAGAGCACCCTGTATGTAGCCATTTTTAGACCAGTGCAACGCAGCAAAATCCTGCCTTTCAACAGTGGAGAGAGAGAGAGAGGGAGAGAGAGAGAGAGAGAGAAGACCAAATGATCAACCGGATTTCAGGTGGGGAGTCTGTAAGTGTTTGTAATTCTGCTTCGCCTACAGTACAAGGTGTGCAAAACTGACTCAATCGCTCCCCCAAAAAGAGAACATACATATTGGTCCAGCAGCTGAAGGATCCCCAAGTGTTCTTGTTTCAGACTGATCTCGTGTTTGGGACCAAACCTCACCAAGCCCAAGGCTCACAGCCCAACACACCCAACGTCCCCATCGTCCGGTCCGTGCCAGGCCGGTCGTTGCTGGGGGTCTGCCACATCTCACTGGGAGTCCCCGTGAAGCCCATGCGTGGCGCTTGGAGACCGGCAAGTGGAGCAACACTTCGCTGGAGCAACGCTCAGTGGAGCACTTGACTGTCAGATTGTTTTAGACATGTGACAGTCCGCTGTGATGGTGGTCAAACATGAGAAGAAGTTGCGTTTGGATTTCTCTATAGATCTTATGTGGATCAGAACCTTGCACCCTGCAAAAAAACACACCAAATCTGAGCAGAACACCCTTGTTCAGGAACACAGCCCCTTCGTTTTGTTTAAATGTTGTTTGAACATGTTGTTCTTCCGAGGGAATGTAGCGCGCCAGGATTGATTCCGGGAACCGAACCTTTGGCGGCGACCGGCATCACATCGTCCCATTGAGGTTGGCGAAGCCATCGAAAGGCATTGCTGAGGCCGGGAGGGTCAAGGGAGGTGGGCGCTTGCATTTTTGGCGCTGGGGAGGTGTCCACAACAAAGAAGCTTGGGCTTGGACTCATGTGTTTGCAGAGGTCCATTCAGAAATTGATCCGTTCATGTTCAGAGACTCGTGGAAATTTGGGTGGTCAGCTTTGGATCTTGCGATGATCTTGCGAGATTGCTCCACATGCGCGTGGTTCCACATTGATTTCTTATGTGGTGGGTGTGTCCGTCACCTGAACCTTGTATGTTATAATGTCTTGGAACAACCCTAAAAGTTCATCAAACGCTGCGCAGGCAGTGCTGCTTTGGTTCCTGTGGGGACCCTTTGGCCATCCCCCTACGAGAGTGGGTGTGAATGATGGTGTACTCTCGTACCTTGAATCAAAGTCCATGAGGGTTTTGGTATGGCTAGTGATTTGCCATGATTTGCCGTTTTCGGCGAAGGATTTTCGGATCTGGTGGACATTTTCTTGATTAAGAATCATTGAGACATATATATATATATTATATAGATAACATAGAAAATTTCTTGGCACTCCGACACTGCCAGACCGCAGACCATCCACCAATCCCCCTAGCCCTCCCCCGCAGGTCGGTGAGCGCCTCTCGGGCAAGCGCTTCACCGGGGAGTGGAAGTACGACGGCGAGCGAGCGCAGATCCATGTACTCTCCAGGGAGACCATTCAGGTCTCCGAGATCTTGGGAGTTTGTTTGTTTTTCTTTTTTGGGTCTGTGTTGGGTGATATAACTGACTGAGTTAGATGGATGTACAGTACCAATTACTAATGGTCTAGGAGGTGTTCAAGAGGGAGAAGGGTCAGTAGACCTTTCAATCGGTATGATTGGTTATAGTGTATGTGGGTTGGAACTTTGGACACCTTTACTATCCTTTACTCATCTATCCACCATTCTCAACTTGAGATGTATAACATGTGGTTCACGTTGGTTCATTCTCAACTTCTTATCCCGCGACCTTCCTTACCTCTTCTGCACTGGCCCAGCGCCCAAAAATCCATAATGATGTCACTGATAGTTTTAACTAAATGAGGGTTCTTGGCCCTGTCTCTCGTTGTTAGAAGCAAAACAGAGCCTTTCAGCACATGTGTCAACTGTGTTCTGCAAGTTTGTGCTCAGATAAAGACGACTCTGTTGGCATCAGCCAAAGCCGGCAGAGCTGGCTGAGACATGTCCATGTCGCCAGATCTACAGCCGGAACTCCGAGAACATGACAGAGAAGTATCCAGATGTGATTCAGGCCCCGTCTCGGGCAGAGGGGCCAGGAGTCGGTCCACGCGATGTGACGGATGCGGTCCCGACCTCGTTTCCCGGACCAATGGACCTCGTTGCCTTTGAGCACTGGATACACCGAGATGAGATGGGAGTTGGAGGGCTGGAAATCTGCAGCTAAGTATATATATATATGATCAGGGCCACCCAGTTCGAGTGGTTTATTATAGACCCCCTGATCATGTGTTTACCATCCAATCACCAATCGAACTGGGTGCTTCTTCTGGTGGTTCGTAGAAGTCAGTAGTTCAATCCCGATTCCTACCGACAGCTATGGGTGCGCACAGCCCAAGGCTGTGAACGGAACCGAAACCCGAAGGACCAACAGGTCCAGGACTACCGTAACCTCACCGACGAATCTCTCCATGCTCAGCGGTGTCGGGTCTCGGGTCTGAAGCCCCGTCTTCGTCTTGGGTCCGACTTCACTCTGACAAGGCTTGGAATCACGGACACGGACGCAGATGTGGGATGAATCAAGAATTCTGTTGAGAGGTTGCTGATATTGTAGATCATTTAGATGATGTCTCAATCATGATCTGATTCATTCTGTTTATCAGTTCAAGATTACAGTATTTTGGATGTATCTTGGGCGGAACAAAAATGGCTTCGCCCAATAAGCGCCGAGCGCCGTCGCATCCTCCAGTTCTGCTTCAGGTGGTGAAGGATACCCTCGCTGAGGAGAGAGGGGATGGACGACTCCGATGGACGACTCGGCTGGCTTCATGCTGGTTGATCAGAATCGGTGTGTCCCAGTATGAGTAACAGTTGATATATAAAAACGTATCATGTTTGATGATCATCATCATCATCATCATCATCAGCAGCAGCAGCAGCAGCATCCACTCAGCCCTGGTAATGGGAGATACCTCAGCTAACGCCTCAGCTATAGATCAGAATCACAAAAAACGAGAGGTGTGATCAGATCGAGCCTGGGGGCTTGTCGCTCTATGTCGAGATTCTCGTTGCGCCGCAACATGACCCCCTTTGGCCGGCGGAAGTCTGGGGGGTTCCAGCCTTGAACATGCATGCAGCGCAGAATTTGAATGAAATTGACACTGCCAGAGCATAATATGTTCCTTATAATATGTAGTAAACCCCTCACAAAAAGGATCAAAAAGGTATGGGACACTGTATTTGTTTCTTTGGTGCATCCACATATATATATATTGTTTATTGAATGCTTAAGTGGCTTGAGGATCCAAACCCGCCATTGGCTTGGTTTTGCAGGTCTTCTTGCGGCTCGAAGGTTTGGTGTTGAGATTCTCGGCCCCGTTACCATCGAGGACGTGCAGAGCTGCATCATTGACAGCGAGCTGGTGGCGTACGATCAGGCCCACGTGATGCAGCGAGCGAAGACCGAGAGATGGTGATGCAGCGTGTTCGATTTTGTTTGACAGGGTTTCAGCAGCTTGTTTTGGGCAATGAAGTTCACAGCCAAAGAGAGATTGAACCAAGCATCTCAAGACGAACCCAAGGTCAGCTGGCCAAGGATGACAAGCTTGTTCTGAAAAGTGGGGGAACATGAACAGCCCATCCCCGTCATGTTCACCAGCCGTTTGCATCCATTTGCTATTTTTGCGAACGACGTACTGTGCAGGTGAACAAGAAGATTCTGCCCTTCCAGGCAGTCCGTGAGTCGAAACGAGGTTCGGTTCAGTCAGTTGCGTAGAGCATGCTGATCGCTACACGATCCATTCGCTTCACCAAAGTCCATCAAGGGACCCCGTCCAACAGTCAAACAGAATCCTGGTTGAAAGGGTCTCGTCAAACAGCATCCTTGTTGTGTTTTTTGTTCTGCTTTTGACCTTTACCCTACATCCCCTCAACAGCATCACCAGAGCCCCATGTCGCTGAACAAGAAGAGTGAATGAACCTGACCCTCACCTAAAGAGACCCTCAAACCACCTGAATGAGCTATGTTTTTGTTGTTCCGAGGATTTGGGAACATAACAAAACATCATCAGTTCCTTGGGCACCACGGCTGAAACAGATCCGCTGCTGGCTCGGCCGCTAAAACCCGGCCGGGAAGACGCGAGCCTTGCGCTCTACGTCGAGGTCTTGACGACGCGCGGCCGCAAGAACATTCACGTGGAAGACATCAAGGCCACGCGTTCACCGGGGCACCGGTGCACGGAGAAACGGGTGAAAAGCCATCCGGCTGAATCATTCTGAATCTAAGCAGAACTGGAAGAATCATGATGGTAGTGGTTGTGGTGGTGATGGTGGTGATGGTGGTGGTGGCGGCATGGACACGAGTTCGGATGACCATGAAATCCAAGGCAATTAGCATGCAGGTGGAGCCATCCACGTCCATGATGGTTTCAAGGAGATTCAAGGAGGAGCATGGTTTAGATATGTTTAGGATTGTTTAGGTGCATGTTTGGAACAGTTCGTGAAACATGTCCAAAGTTCTATGCAGTCCCCAAGGTGCTGCCGTGACACTCACAAGACCTCGTCCCCCTATGTTTCTCTTTGAATAGGTCCGTAAGACCCTTATAGTATTATATCATTAGGTGTAGACTGAACAAATGAGTTGGGCCTCGTTTGCTGGCAGGTGAATGTTTGCTTGTTTGCGTTCGACTGCATGCTGGTGAACGGCAAGCCTTTGGTGAAGGCCTGAATTCTCCGGATGAAACTTGGTTCGTCACCGATGGGTATAGGTCCTGCATACTTGTAGATAGATTCTTGGCTGTTGCAAGTGCCTCTCTCCCTTTGCTGTCACAAGGGTGATACCGTGATACACCCTTGCGTCACACTCTTGCTGGGCCACGAAAACGCCAAACTGGTCTACAGAACCTCAATGAAACTAAATTTGAACCATTCTGAACACAATGTTATGTATTTGACTTCAGAAATCCCACCTGACTAAGTTAAGTGAAATCATGTGAAATCTAGCATAATCTGCCAATCAATCATGTCCGAGTCGGCTGGAATGTCAACTCCACTTGGCCCACAGATGCCCAGAGATGTGCTTACATAGTTCGTGATCATGTCATCTATTCCAGGATGAGACAATTCACAGTGTGTGAATCTATCAAAACTGTTTGGGACTCTCTTACGAAAGGCAGCCAATAGGCTAGGCCGAAGTTCGTTTCCGCGAACGAAGTGAGCTATCTAGGGGGTGGGGGTGCAGATGGCCATGAGAGTGACCAAACTCTGGAAACTTGCGTTTTTACTTTCTGGCAAATGCAATTTTGGATAAGTTGGTGATGCTGACAGTGCAATTCGCAACGGTAGCGGGATTGTTTGCATCAGAAAGGTGTTTGTGGAAGATTGCTGCTGGTGCTTCTGGTGCTGCTGGTGCCTGGTGTGCTGCTGCGTAGGCTGTACTACAGTGTCCTTTTGAACTTTGGGGCTTGTACTTTGTCAACTGGTCCTTGCCTCTTACCATATAATAACTGGGACCCGCATACTGGTTTCTACTGGCTTTCGTTCTTCCTTTCTCCGGGTTGCCACCTCGGAGGGCAGGGATTGGGACTGCTGCCACAAAAGCTAGGCATCATACTCAAGGAGGGAATCCATCAGTGGTTTATGGGATTTCGGAGGGGCTTTTACGCTGAGAAAGTACAAACCGCACTTGCCAAGTGTACAACAAGTAGGATACCAAATAGCATGCCAAAGCTGATCCCTCTATGGTTCCCAAAAGCATTGGTAGAGCCGGCAGAGCCTACCTCTTCACCTCTTTCCCCCCAGGAGCCCTTAGAGCTTCGTCGAGAAAAGCTCTGGACGATGCTGCGCCCTGTGGAGGGCAAGGCCGGATGCGCCCGATCGAAGGCGATGCGTCGACCTGCGTCTCTTCCTGCGAAGGAGAAGGGGAAACATAGACGAAACCAGACTGCTTGAGGTCTTTGAGATTCTTGATGCATTCGCGGTTTGGATACAGGGTGCCCAACCATTCCTTCCTTCGGATGGAGATTCAATGTTCACTTCACCACTACACCTTCGGATGCGACCCTGCCTGCTCAGGTGACCTTCGCAGTTCACAAGAACTTTGATGACATCAATGAAGAAGAGATCCAGGTGCACCTGTGGGCTTTGATGGCATTAGACGTCATTTGACCATAGGTGAAAGTGGGCCCCCTCTCTCCGAGACTTGGTTTTTGGCCCGTCCAAATTCTCTCGGTTCAGATGCTTTGTGTTTGTGTAACAATGACCACATGTGGGAAGCAAGCGGCTGCTTTTGTGGGATCAGAAACCGATCTTGGCTCGGCGCCATCGGCGCCACCTTCCATCCCGAAGAAGGGCGGACCGTGAGTTTTGCGCTCCAAATTGAGGAGCTTCCAGAGACCATAGGGTGTGTTGGAATGAGCTTATGCAAATTGGGTAGGTGTTGGACTTTGCAAGTTCATAGGGTGGGGAATAGCATCACCTGCAAAGCAGGGAGAATGTTTCATCCATGTCCAATGGTGTTTGAGCACAATGCTAGAGTAGATATTCTAGTCAACACTGACCATTTGGATTTAAATCAGCACCATGTACTTACCGGAAGATGACTGGACAAAAAGAATGCCCTCGGTCCTCTACCCACAACTATTTAAACTGGGAGGTGATGGTATAGAATCCTGTCAGTACAACCACTCCATGCTTTCAACTTTGTTGTACGAAAGCACCAGAACCAGAACCTCTATTAATTGCTAATAACTCATTAGTAATAAACTTTACAGACAACCTTTAGGTAGAGAGGACATGTTTGTGCATTAACTAGGGCAGTACTATATAGTAGCTAGAAGCTAGTAACAAGGGCATCGCTAGTAACAAGTGCATAGGCTAAGAAGCTACAAGAAGCTAGTGAGAGATCGGCCTGAGAGATCGGCGCACAAAGGCCTTTCTGGATGAGTCTGTGGCTGGCTCCTGTGAGGCACATCCGACCGTCGGTTGACTGCCGTCTACCGGGTCGTCTATGTGTTTTTGCCCGGACCAGAAGACACTCCCCGTGTTCCTAGTAGCGTCCTTGTTACTGGTAGCTATATATTTGCACCTAGTGGTAATGTCCTTTGTTACTAGTAGCGATGCCCTTGTTCCTAGTAGCTTGGTATTCATCAAAGAAGTATGATCAACATAATGTAGACTCCTGATTAATGCAACCTCCCCATTTGGATGATCAAACCCATGGATGAGTTTCTTCCTGATGGTTTGGTTTAATTTGCTGAGAATACGACCGGCACCCCAATGATCCTTTCTGTTCGCTTTTGTCAGTGCTGCCCACATAACCTCTGATGAAGCACCATGGCACCGCGTGCCGGAGAGAAACCGTTCTCTCAGCAATGCCTTCACCAAGGGTGTAACCAGTAACCATGTGTAATCTGTAGAGTGTAGAGGGACCTTCAGAGTGTCCACCTTTTCAGGGGCTGATGCTGAAGACCCTCACAGAGAATGCCACCTACGAACCCTCCAAGCGCTCCTTGAACTGGCTGAAGCTGAAGAAGGACCGAGGTCCCTGACTGATGTTACTGAACTTCAAGGTGCAGGCCATTCACAAAAATTATGGTGTTCATTGTTTTTTTCAGTGTTTGCTGGTGGAAAATGAACACTGTGGCCGTGGATCATTTTTGGAAGGGTTTTGAAGGATTGTTGCGGAACAGTGGATGTTTGTGGATTTGCTGGGCAACATTGATCAAGATCTGAGCAATAGTGGCAGATGGCACCATCAAAGTGAACATGAAACACTGTAAAGCGAACACTTCCCAAGCTTCGCCGCATTTGTCAAAAATCCTGGATGTTCATGGGCCGTTTACAAGGTTTCACTGAACCATTGCACAGCAGCAGGGATTATTGAACTGTACGGCTTTTGATGTTTTGATCCTCGCATCGTTCCGTTTCGGAGACGACGCTGACTGTTTTCGTGATCGAAGAAGGGACTCCTTTGTAGCCAGCCGTGTTGATGGAATTGTTTGCCCTTTTTGCCCACATTCCAGAGCAAAGAGAGATGGGGAAAGTCAGACAACCGGAAGAGGGGATGATTTGTAGCACCGTCAAGCAATGGATCTTGGTCATTGAATGCTGGACTGCGAGGGCAAATTACTGTAGATCTTCTGACCTCACGCTTGATTTTACACGGCCTTGGATCAACTTGAGCAGCACACCGCACCCGGTTGCTGCTTGCAGAAGCAGCTGAAACATCAGAGACCGGGACTTGCTACTGTATGAATGTCCCTGCAACAACTTGAAGGAGGTGTATATAAATGATGTTGATTCCTCCAGAAGAATGACATTTATATACATACTAGTATACCGTATACATCCGTATACCAGTTGATGATAGTTGATGCTTCAAAGATCCACCCCCGACATCGGCAGGCATCGTTGAAAGAGACACACCGAGATGTGTTGCATATGTTGGACCCCGTGAAAAAGAAGTCATTCTGAACACCGGCTATGCACCGAACTCTCCTGAAGTGAACCAGGACTACCTAGAGGGTATGGCTGACAGCATTGATGTGGTGCCCATTGGCGCTTACTACGGGAAGGCCGGGGAAACCAGTGGTCACCAAGTCAAGCGGTTGGTTTTTGGGTTCACCAGCGGTCCCCACCAGGACGAGGTGTTGGCAGGCAATGCCGTAGGCAATGCGAGGTGTTGGCATGCATCATGCATCAATTGGTGCCCAGTTCGGAAAGCCCTTTCGAGTTAGACTGGAGACCTTTCGAGTTGGCCTGATTTCGAAGCTGACTGGACTCACCAGTTTGGGGCATCTTGCGAAGACGCTGAAGAGCGCAGAGGTGTTTTCATGGCCCAGTTTTGGCTGGGTTGGTAGAGCTGTGTCAATATGCATTCGCTGTTTTGAGGGTTTAGGCAGGTCCAGCCGGTGAAACAGAAATGATGCTTGGTCCAATGGAAATGGTGCAAGAGGGTCTGCAATGGATCAATAGGTCCAGTGAAACACATTCGTTTTCAGGGGAATCGATTGAACCCAAGTCCGCTGTTTTGGCGTGTCGTTTTCACGATGAACCATCGGCGGTTCCCGCACGTCCGTGTGGACCGCGTGTGGTTTGCACAGAGGACAAGTAAGGGGGTTATATATAAGCCATCGAAGAGACGTTCTGAGTTCTGACTACTGTATAAGAAATTGAGAGGATATGTATAACCAAAGTTCTTCTTATACTGTAGTTCTGACTGTAGTTCGTCTCCATTTTGAAATTGAGAGCACAAAGAGGATATTTGAACGGTATTCGACTAGGGGGAACCTTTACTAAATGAGTGTTCCAAGACCAATCCGCCAACGAGTCAGTGACTGGACCGCCCGGGTTTGGCTTCGATTGGACCGCCCCTTGTCTCAACCAAGGGCAAGCGCTCGGGTGCCTATGGGGCCTACTTGCTGGCCATCTATGACCAGGAGGCCATTAATCAGTCGAGGTTTTCGATCGAGGGTTTTCGATCGAGGCCGACAGCGATCTACAGTTTTTTTGCAGATGGTTGATTTTAGGCGGTTTAGATGGACCCCCATCTACTCCGAAATTCTGGAAACCATAGGTTTGCAGGTTGGTGTGTGTCATCGGTTTGCAGGTTGCCTCCGATCGTTGGCCGGGTGTCGGAGTGTCGGCTTTTGTTTAATAGCAAGAATGGCCTCCAACCTACTAGCGATGGCCTCCAAGCTAATAGCTTGTGGCATCTTGTGGCTATTCAAAGCTTTTTGTGTCTCTTTTGAGTGCTAAGTGACATTAAGTGACACGCAGAAGCGAACCACATTCCTCGACTTCCACATGCGCAGTCATGCGCAGATGCTTTTGTGGGCCAAAATCATGTTCCTGCAACTTGCTGTTGCACTTTATTTGTTGTTTGCGTTATTTGGCTTGTATGAAGACAAACTGATATCCATCCAGGTGGATTTCATATATGTGCTGTAGTATTGTATAATTATATATGTTTGAGAGATGGCAGCACCATGAAAACGGACACCACACTGAGCAAAATGTGTCTAGACTCCCGGGTGCCACCCAGTGCTACTGCCACACTTACCCCACTGACATCTTTGCTACACCATGCGACCTCTGCAAGGCAATCAACAAAATCCCAAACAATGATTTTCCACACCTCCGCCCACAAAGGAATCACCACGGACCACTGCCACACTTCCAATTACCAGCTTGAGACCAAAAGAACTGCCACAACTTTGCCACCCCATGTGCCACACCAACAGTGCTATTTGAAACGATGTCGTTTGGCTCCACATTCAGGTATACTAGATACTATGTATAATATACAATGGAATTAATCACTATATAGATATATCGATATTAATACATATATATATAACTATATATATACATGGAATTAATCACTATATAGATATATCGATATTAATACATATATATATAATTATATATATATATGTATATATAATATATATATATATCCTACCAGAAATGTAAATATACAACCTCCGACCCCTCAGCGACCTGTTGAGGGACGCAAAACATCCAATGACGACGCATCAGCAGCACCCAGCTGTGCAACGATCCGATTGTCGCTCTCGGCCGCCTGGTTGATGTCGTGCGCAGAATGAAGAGTTCCAGACCGTGTGCAAAGCGGGCACTGGATTCTCTGATGAGGAGAAGTCGAAGTTTGTTTTTTTTTGCTCTATTTGGGTTCAATCCAGTGCTCAGCATCAAACACTGATGGGTGTGTAGCCGGGGTAGCATCTACAGATGGGTTGTTCTTGTTTCAGAACATTTGCGGAAGACGTTTTGGCCTATGTTTGAGCTTCTTTTGCAGGACTTGCACCCTGTAGTGAGAGGCAGATAGGCCTATGACTCCCTGGTCACCTGGAGTCACCTATATAGTCACATTTTGCTTGAAGATTCTTGCAAATCTGGCAGGACTTGCAGACACACTACAAGTTCTTCAAGGAGCACTTGCGCGGCAGTGCGGAGGTGCCACTTTCAGAAGCCTTCCGAGGAGGGTTTGGCGAGGCTTAGTACGAGACACTGAGACACGGTTAACTGTAAATTTGTTTGGAGAGTGGGTGTCCATGCGTTTCGCAATGTTTGATACATACTGTGTACACTGAGTTAAAGAGAACCTGTAAATCGTACATATAATTGTATGTATGGTTTTCTGATCTGAAAATCGAGGGTGCAATCGGTGCAATATATGTGAGACAAAGCCTTCGGCTGAACGAAGAATCCTGCAAACAAGATGAAGGATATCTCCCTGGGTACAGTGTTTTCCATATACCAGGCGGTCTGCAATTTCTTTGCATCAACAGTCCAAAGACAGCCAGATACGTTTAAAGGCTCAGCATGCCAACATGACTCGCCAGCAAGTGAATACCCTCACGCCGTGGATTTGCTGAGACGAACTACAATGTGAATGACAAGCTGAAGCCGGACGTATGGCTGGAACCTTGCCAGGCGGTTGGCGGGAAGGAGGCTGCAGGGTGGCCCTGTTGCAGATTCAATTGGGTACTTGCAGTGTCTTTGATATCAGGGAAGTAGGGGAAGTATATTACTGCAGACTGTAGAATATAGTAGAATGACGAACTCATAGACTTATGTCCAGACTAGAAACTACATTCTTCCAGGGAAAGAATCTAATGAATAGGATACATGTAAATATACAATATACGTACTATATATGCTAACTTATACTGAAAAAGACATCAAGTAGAATAGTATTTACTTTGTTTGATCCTCGCTTCTTTTCCACCTTCCCCGGCTCCCCTCCACGCACCGGTGGGTCCACGTGTTCCGGCTGGCTCCCCCACAGGTCTGGGAGATCCGCGCCGCCGATTTGAGCATCTCCCCCGTCCACACCAGTGCCTTCGGCGTGAAGGTGCCGACCGAAAAAGGGCCGCGAAACGCACCGCCGTGGCGGAACCTGGACTTGGACTTCACCCAGTGTGGAAGAACATGCGGGCAGCGTTAGGAAATTAATCAGGGGTACCTACTGAGTTCAAAATTAATTTTTTTGGATTAATTTCTGAAATTTCACCCAAAATATATAACAGGATTGAACAAAATGTTAAATATTAATATTGGCAAACTTCAGTTACTGGAGGGGTCCTGGATTAATTTCTATTCTGGCTCGTGGTTGTTCGCGTGCGGTTGCCGATGCGTATTGTTGATTCTCCTGGAACCGCGGCCATGGGAGATCAGTTGTTTAATACTGGGGGGGTTTGCAACAACTCAACCACCTGCAAATTAATTTCATACAGTCTATGTCAGACAGGGTTATCAATTCAATACACACATGCGTGTGCCTGCCCAGCTACAAAGCATACGGCAGGCAGAGTATTCTTGAGTGGACCGTATAGGTCAAAGGTGTGCGCCATGGATCCGCCAAAAGATTGGCCAACTTCCTGCAAAGTCCGTGGATGCAGCTTGGTTGCTAGCATTTACTAATCATGCATATCAGACAGTGCCTGGCAGCCCCGCTAGACATATGCAGAAGATTATGAAAATTATGAATAATTCATGTATAGACCCCCCCCCCCACTCAACCTCCTCGGGGTATCAACTCCCCACGTCTGCTGACCTTCCATGAAAAAAATGTAGAAATGCACTCTCCATCACTCTCCGATGCCTTTCGCCAAATCATGCCAAATTCCCGTTTCCAAGCCATGCTAGCTTTCGTCAACAACCCCCGGACTCAACTTCCACTTAGGCGATGCAAAGATGGACTATCCAACGTGGAACGGAACGCATGCATGTTGGACTTCGCAATGCGCTCCTGGGCCGGTTATGCGATGGAATCCCCAATGACAGATATTTGATATATTTCGGGCTGAAAGAAGGGTGTGACAACAGCTGTGGTCTGAGGCTTTCGAGATGTTCAGCACAAACACAGGACGTCCACGGAAATCAAACCATGTGGCAATCCAGATCCCTGGCCGCAATGACAGGATTGGCAATGATTTGAAAGGAGGAATCAGGAATCTCCTCAAGGATGAGTAGGATTTTGATTTTGACATTTGTTAGTGTTTCTTGTTGTCGCGCACGGACCCCGCATCTGAGTGACAACCACACCTGGGTATTCACCAGCTGCCTGACGAAGCAGCTGGCAAAATGGAAGGAAGAGAGCAGCTGGACTTGCGCACCTTGATTTGTAATTCAGGGCAGTCAATGAGTCATGTTGCTTTCCATTGTTTTCCAGCGGTTTCGAACTTCCTGTCAAAAGTTTCAGAGTTTCAGAGAGAGTGCCAGAGTAGCACAAACCCGTTTGGATCGCCCGTGGTGGTTGCCAAGGCATTCCCCCCCAATTGTGGCAAACCGGAAGGCAGGGTCCCGAAGAGAATGAACTAACATGTAGGTCACAAGAAACACCGCCTACAATGTTTGCAGGATTATTGTTTGATTGCTTTTCAATTCCTGCGAGTCCTTTCAATGTATACACGCATATTAAATTTGACCTAACTTTTGTTTATTTTCGGTTCAGGCGAGGAGCCGGAGAAGGCGTGTGGACATATGCCTTTGGCCCAAACTCCTGCACCCTTGTTTTGGCGCATGACGGAATGAGACGGAATGCGCACGCTGTGCTTTTAGTTTTGTGTTTCTGATGTTTTCTATCTATCTTTTGTTTATGTAAGGTGATGCTGTGGACAACAAGGGTGATGAGACCATAGCGTCAACTCCAGCAAAGAGTTGCTTGGCTGACTCACTGAAAGAAGTTTATGCCCAGAAAACGGTGGTCGAGATTGTTTTGACGCGGCGCTTCTATTTTGTTCTTTAGGTAAGCCTGCGAAGAAGAAGGATGAGCACAAGGATGGTCTGCCCGCAGTGCCAACTCCTGTGCAGAGTGCCTTGAACATTGAGGACCAATGATTTTTAAATTCATTTTGATAGTTTGAGACAGCACACAGCTGGGATACCTCGCCCTTGTTTTTCTTGTTTTGGCGCATGACGGAATGCACGCGCTGTGAATTTTGGTTCTGATGTTTTTTCTTTAGGTGAGCCTGCGGACAAAAAGGATGAGCGCGTGCCCATAGTGCCAACTCCTATGCAGAGTGCCTTGGTTGCTTCACACTTTTCGGGGGAGCAATGAGGGTGAAGGATACATATTAATTTACAATATTTTAGAGTCTCAGACAACTCACATACCCTGTGATTAATTCTTGGTGAGGACAACCAGGATATCTCACCTTTGTTTTTGCACAGTGAGTTACAAGTGTTTCTTTCTTTTGTTTTCTGTCTTTTCTTTAAGGTGAGCATGTGGACAAGAAGGCTGAGCAGAAGGATGCTGTGTCCATGGTGCAAACTCCTGCGCAGAGTGCCTTGTTTGCTTCACACTATTCGGGGGAGCAATGAGGATGAAGGATATATATTATTTTAGAGTCTCGGACTACTCACATACCCTGTGATTAATTCTTGGTGAGGACAACCAACATACCTCACCTTTGTCTTTGCACAGTGCGCTACATGTGTTTATTTCTGTTGTTTTCTGTCCTTTCTTTAAGATCTTTAAGGTAAGCCTTTGGCCAAGAAGGATGAGCAGAAGGATGCTGTGCCCATGGTGCCAACTTCTGTGCAGAGTGCCTTGGTTGCTTCACACGAATCGGGAGAGCGTTATATATGGATATTAATTTGCAAGTCTCAGACAACTCACATACCCTGTGCTTAATTCTTGGTGACGACAACCAGCATATCTCACCTTTGTCTTTGCACAGTGAGTTACAAGTGTTTCTTTCTTTTGTTTTCTGTCTTT